CTAACTTAATGCTTATCTAACAATATAATCCATTAAATAAAATGGATAAATTTTATTTTAAGCATTAGAAATGTATTCACTGTCTAACCTCACTGTAATCGATGTCTTTTAGTAACATTGATTACTCTTTAGATCATTTGTTTTGTCGAAATTTTCATTTAAGGTGAGCGCAAGAATATCGAGTAAAATAAACGATTGAAATATATGCCTCGACATTAATATTATTAAGATGACCAATCGTCCTCCTTCGGGGAGGATAGTCCATCTTTTATAGGTTTCGTCCTCTTTCGAAAAAGTGTGCTCCCACATGTCCTCCTTTTCGGTATTTGAAGACTAATCTATAAGTCTCCACATTCAATCCATGCCGAGTCAATCCGTTGTGTTTGAGGAGTTTGTATTTGATACGACGATTCATCAAGGCTCCGTACAGTGCGATGAAACGTGATTATGAGATGCATGTGCTCCGCACGGGAGACCATGAGAGAGCGCTCTGCGCGCAAGTGACTTTGTTTACTTCTTACCGAAACACGACACGGCACATACACACGAGTAGAGGCTATTATAGAATATTATTGTTGCAATGAATAAAATGTTTGTTTTATTTACAATAGTTTTTTCTTTATTTGCGTCCTCCTTCTAATTGTAAAAAAGTTAGTTACATTAATACAGTAGAGCCTCGAAAATTCGGCACTCGATAACCCGGCACTCCGGATAACTCGGCCACGCCCTGGCAGGGCAAAAAAATCCTTAGTTAATTAATTTTTATTATAGACAGCTTTATAAATGTATAAAAGCTCTCATAAAGTATTTTTCTGAGGTCTGTCTAATCAGGTAAATTACTGTATACAGTGTATTCGTTAATTTTCATTTTCATGTAGTAAAGGATGTATGCCTTCATAAAGGACGTACTTTTCCTTTGTTTAAGGGTATTTGGGCAGTTTATTCTCTGTTGTATTATCAACTAAACAATACACACAAGTACAGTACAGTATTTTCCGAGGAAACAGTCACTTATTTTTTGAACCCCATTCCCGATAACCCGGCATTTTCACAAACTCGGCCACCCTTCGGTCCACATTAGGCCGAGTATTCGAGGCTCTACTGTATTATAAAAATCTAAAAGTTTTCATCACTAATGATAAAATTAAGAATCAAAATTAAAAATGTTCTTAGTTTATTGAAAGTATAAGCAGTCACTTTTACTGCATTTATTCAAAGTGAAGAGCAGCAGTAAGCAAATAAATGCTTTCTTAGCTACTTAAAATGTTGCTTAAAAGCACCAATTTTCAATTATTACTTGATTTAAACACCGTAAAACTTCTTTTACTTGACAACGTACAACGAAAACGTAATTATTAAGCAAAAAACTACGTTTTCTACCCGATCAACTTATGAGATAAAGCGATTTGATCATATATGTAATGTTTGGGAACAATTGATATAGACATTGTCGGATAAAGTTACATTTATTCAAATTGATAATCCCACCATTAACGTAACTCGTTTTATTTCAAACCAGTTATTCTATTACTTATCCAGATGTATTAAGTTTTTCTATAGTCACGCAACTAGACAAGTGAAATCGATGCAACGGGGCCTGAAACGAAGAGGGCTTCGCAATGAAACTGGTGGAAAATTTGTGGTGTGGCTGAACATTTTGCCGAAAATTTGGAAATTTTAGTAAAATCATTTATATCACATTCGTTATCATAATGTTAATATTAAGAAACAATCTGCATTATTCAAAAACGATTAGCATTAACATTTCCAAATCAACTAGATTGATAGGTTACTTCTTTAAACCGTTTTAGTCATACAATTAATTAATGCTTAAGTATACTGTATTGATAAGTATAAAAACAATGGTTTTGACATCAAAATAAAGCGAATGAGACTAATTTTAATCCTCTTTTAGTCACTACTGAATATTAAAAGGCAGATATTAATAGGATCAGAATTTGAACACAAAATGGAAATAGCCCACCCTTTAGGATCTAGTTTTAAAGCTAAAAAATAAGTCGGATTAGGAATTTACACCTGAGATGGTTACATTACCAGTGGCATTGAGAAAACCGATTTGGCGATGTTAATGCTGATTGTTTCCGAATAATGGAGGTTGCTTCTTACTATTTACAGTACGTTAACAAATGTGATATAAATGATTTTACTAAAATTTCCAAATTTTCGGAAAAATGTCCAGCCAACAATTTTTCCGCCTGTTCTATTTCGAAGCCTTCGTTTCAGGTCCCGTTGACCGTTGCATCTGTCTAGTTACGTGACTATAGAGAGACTTACATCTGGACAGGAGCGTAGCCACGGTGAGACAGAGAAAGGCGAGCGCCTTACCCTGGCTGATTTAGTCAAACGAAAAATTATTAGTCACTAGGTTATAATAGTATTGCGTGGCATTACTATTATAACCTATTGTATAGTATTGTTTGAACGTGGCAGAAAGTTTGTTTGTTAACTTATGGTAACGCAACACTCGGGCGATATGCCTAGGGGTATGCCTTCTGGGAGGTCTTTTTAAGAAAAACTGGCCCCTATTCAGGCGTTACAGACGTGGAGAAAACGCAGAAAACTGCACCTGGCCAGCCTGTCTGAGCGAGACAGAAATCTACGACCGAACTCACAGTGTTCAGGGTAAAAAGACGGCTTGGCCATTAGTGAGCACTAAATTTCAGAAAGAAATTTTGACAACATTTACCCAGAACACCTGTAAGCTAGTGCTAAAATAAGATTACATAGGTTCGAATAGCATGCAACTAATTACTTTTAGCGTTTTCAAATCTTCAAATACATTTCTTTTTTAATAAACAACGTTATTTTATTTTAGCCCCTATGAAAAAATCCTGATTACGCCCTTGCATCTAAATAAGTAATTTAACAAAATAACTGGTTTGAAATAAAACGAGTTACGTTATTGGTGTGATTATCCATCTGAATAAATGTCAATTTATTAGACAATGCCAGTATTTTAAAGCGAATATTTTCGTTAAGTTCAATAAATTTTTAACACAATTAATTCGCAACGTAAGAAAATTTTATTTAAAGCAATATTTCTAAATCATTTTTACAATTAAAAACCGGGGTATCGCTTGTACTTTTCTGCTGAACTCGATTCAGTAAACTACACAATTATGTAAATTAGTTTTTTGTCAAAATCCAGAAATATTATTAATTCCCATGCAAAACCTAACTAAAAATAAAACCGTTTATTATTAACAAAAAATTCAAAATTTTATTCATTAGCCACAAATACAATTGAAATATATTCATGATAATTAAGCAACGTTTTAACCAATACTTGTGAAGGAAAGACGTGAAACTATCCCTTGTAAATAAAGAAAGATTTTCGTAAGTATAAAACCTTTATTGAATAATTAAAATCATCACTTTCATTTATATTTTAAAATTAATTAATAATAATAAATTAACAATAACTTTTATAGTGATAGAATTATATCAATTGTTCCCAAATATTTCATATCTAATCAAATTCGCTTTATGTCAAAAAGTGATCAAGTAGAAAACGTATTTTCTTATTTACTAATTACGTTTTCATTGTTTGTTGTCAAGTAAAACAATTTATACGATGTTTAAATCAAGTAATAATTGAAAAATGGTGCTTTTAAGCAACATTTTAAGTAGCTAAGAAAGCATTTATTTGCTTGCTGCTGATCTCCACTTCGAATGAATGCAGTAATAGTGTCTGCCTGTACATGTACTTTGAATATAACAAGAACATTTTTCATTCTGATTCTGAATTTATTAATTGATAATGAAAACTTTTAGACTTTTACAACAATCATGCTGAAGCAAGCATTTGGATCGTTTATTTTAATCGATATTCCTGCACTCATCTTAAAGGAAATTTCAACAAAATAAATGATCTTAAGAGTAATCAGTGTTACTAAAAGACATTGAATACAGTCAGGTTAGACGGTTAATACTCTTTTAATGTTTAAAATATAATGAATACTTTTAATGGTTTATATTGTTAGATGAGCATTGAGTTAGAATTTTTAATATATTTTTTTCTTAGTTTACGTTTTGTAACTAGTGGTATTAAATATCCATTGTAAACATCAAAGATAACTTGTAAAAAATATAACGTTAACAATAGAAAAAAATAAACATAAAAAGTATACAAAGTTAACAAAATACAAATAAATATGCGTATAAGAAAAATATATACAAAAATCTATGACAGCTAACTATGATTATAGGGAGGCACATATTTAAAGGGTTTTTATGTCCAAATCGTCTTTCAATAATATAATTCCAGGCTAAAGGTAATGCGTTAGCATCTCTCGCGTTCAGGCACAGCTGTTTCATCTTGCTCTTATAAATTCATATTTTTTCCATATCATTAGCGATAGTTGGAGAATTTGACTTTATAATGATTTTCGCATCATCCTACTATAAAACTAATCTTTCCACCTGCGGCAATGCTGCTAAAATTGTATTACTATGGCCTTGTCCTACATTGTAGTTGTTTTCCTATTACGTTTTTTATGTGACATTGAGGTAATCCTTTTAGATGCCTAGCTGTCGATTTTCATAAAGTATTTTGTATACTCCAGCCTATTCTTGTTTCCTTAGCTTCTCTTTATGATTTTTTCAGTAAGTTGTAAATGTTAAGAGCTTATTTGTAAACTATCTTTAAGTTTTTATCTGTTTCCTGCTTATTTATACTGTCTCCAGACGGTTTGATGTATTTAAATTTATTCATCTAATCTATGTGTTTTGGAGACTTATTATTGTTTTCTTCATAACACCTGACGAGTTCTTCTGCAGAGTATGTTTAATACCTTAAAGTTGTAGTTTAAGTTTATTGTTATGCAAAATATAAGGTTAACATTAAACAAGTTATCTATTTAATTCGTTTAATACATTTAAATTTGTATTTAAAATTCTTCAAACGTTAAAACTTAAATAAAATGTTTTATATGTGCAACATTTATATTTATTACCTAAAATAGAACTTTTTTTTACAGAGAGCCCGCAAGTAACCTATAACAAAATGGAAGATAAATCGAATCGTCGCCATACGAGTTTTGATAAAATCGATGGGAATAGTGATATACATAAAGTTTACGAGTGTGAATTTTGCTCGGAGGCTTTTTCATATAAATCTGGTTTAGAACAACATTTAACAAAACACTCGAACGAAAAGCCTTTTCGATGTAAAATGTGCGACGAAACATTCANTTCGTTTAATACATTTAAATTTGTATTTAAAATTCTTCAAACGTTAAAACTTAAATAAAATGTTTTATATGTGCAACATTTATATTTATTACCTAAAATAGAACTTTTTTTTACAGAGAGCCCGCAAGTAACCTATAACAAAATGGAAGATAAATCGAATCGTCGCCATACGAGTTCTGATAAAATCGATGAGAAAGGTGATATACAAAAAGTTCACGAGTGTGAATTTTGCTCGGAGGCTTTTTCATATAAATTTGGTTTAGAACAACATTTAACAAAACACTCGAACGAAAAGCCTTTTCGATGTAAAATGTGCGACGAAACATTCAAATATAAAACTACATTGACTGTTCACGAGCAATTGCATACAGAAGAAAAACCGTTTAAGTGCGAAATTTGTTCTCAATCTTTTACCACTAGTAAACTCTTAAAAGAACACAAAATAGTTCACGATCCTGGAAGAAGTGCGAAGACAGAAAAATATGATTTGCATAGTAAATTCCATGTGAGAAAAGCAAATTACCCAAATGAAAGTTTAGAGGAAGCAGGACCTTATTCGGCTCACACTCACGAAGAGATGATGCAAGCAGAATTGTCTTCAGCTCACATTTACAAAAATATGACACAGGAAAAACCGTATTCAGCTCACATTTACGAAGGGATGACACAAGCAGGACCGTCTACACCTCAAATTTACGAAGGGATGACGCAGGCAGAACCGTCTTCAGCTCACACTCACAAATGGATGATGCAGACAGGACCGTTTTCAGCTAACATTTACAAAGGGATGACGCAGGCAGAACCGTTTTCAGCTCACACTTATGACTGGACGATGCAGGCAGGGCAATATTCACCTCACACCCACGAATCGATGATGCAGGCAGGACAGTCTTTACTTCACACCCACGGATGGATGATGCATGCAGAACAATCTTTACCATACACCCACAAATTGATGATGTATGCAAGACAGTCTTCAGCTCACACTAACGAATCGATGATGCAGGCAGGACAGTCTTTACTTCACACCCACGGATGGATGATGCAGGCAGGACAGTCTTTACCTCACACCCACGGATGGATGATGCAGGCAGGACAGTCTTTACCTCACACCCACGGATGGATGATGCAGGCAGGACAATCTTTACCTCACACCCACGGATGGATGATGCATGCAGAACAATCTTCAGCTCACACTCACGAATTGATGATGCAGGCAGGACCGTCTTCAGCTCTTACTTACGAAGAAATGATGCATGCAGGATCGTATTCAGCACACACTTATGACTGGACGATGCAGGCAGGGCTGTCTTCAGCTCACACTCAAGAAGGCATGATGCATGCAGGACAGTCTTCAGCTCACACTTATGACTGGACGATGCAGGCAGGGCTGTCTTCAGCTCACACTCAAGAAGGCATGATGCATGCAGGACAGTCTTCAGCTCACACTTATGACTGGACGATGCAGGCAGGGCTGTCTTCAGCTCACACTCAAGAAGGCATGATGCATGCAGGACAGTCTTCAGCTCACACTTATGACTGGACGATGCAGGCAGGGCTGTCTTCAGCTCACACTCAAGAAGGCATGATGCATGCAGGACAGTCTTCAGCTCACACTTATGACTGGACGATGCAGGCAGGGCTGTCTCCAGCTCCTACTCACGAAGGAATGATGCAGGCAGGATCTTCCTCATTTCAAAATCCAAGTTTAACTCTGGATGAACAAAGAGACTTCGAAGTGAAAAAGAATAAAAGAAAAAGATATACGCCGATAAAATCAAGTTGAACATGAATTCAAAAATTTATTAGAATAATTATAGAATTCTGTAAAACGAAAAGTACCGATGAAACGAACATATTTAAAATTTTATTTCGGCCTATATTCGCAAATTTTTAAATGATTTTAACTGATTTTTATTGAATATTTGTATTTTGAATAATTTTGTAATTAAAAACAGCTTTTATTTTATTGAAAATTTATTATTTTATTGATTTAATCGAAGGGAAACATTCAAACGTCAAGACTACACCACAGCGATAACATAGTCCAACTTCAGATAGGCATTATATGGAATAGAAAGTGTCATTGACTTATTTTGGAAGACTTGTGCTTTGTTGAGGCAACATAAATCAGGCTTGTATTTTAGTACTTTGGTATATACAAACTTTAATTTAAGGAATGAAAAAATTCGAAAGAAATAGAATGACGTCTTTATGGACGGTCTTTAAAGAATTCGGCTCCCTGTCTCACACACATTGAAGACGAAGTGTTGCTGCCTCAAGGTACAGACGTGTGTGTTTCGTGTCTGACTTTCAAAGAAGAAAGATTAACTACTGGTCACATAAATTTAAAGTTTTTCACGGGCCGAACCAGAAGCTGCCAATGAAAGATTTTGAGGGGGTGCAAAATCTCATTGTAGTGTCACTCCGTAGAGACTAAATTGTACATAGAGATTAATTTAATAACACATTATAATGCATTATTAACGTTCTACGCTGTGCCTAAGAGATTTCTAATGGAGCGTTAACTCTAAACGCACAGTGAGTTGTTGACCTTTTTAATTTTTTTAGGGGTCAGAATTTTTTCTCGAGCTATTCGGTCTTCAGTAGGTAATATTAAAAAAATAAATCGCGAGCGGCATAAATTCATCAGACGGACTGGATGTTGGCCATACCTGAGTTAGACAGTTAATACCCTTTTAATGTTTAAAATATAATGGATACTTTTAATGGTTTATATTGTTAAATGAGCATTGAGTTAGAATTTTTAATATATTTTTCTTTCAGTTTTGTAACTAGTGGTATTAAATATCCATTTTAAACAGCTACATAACTTGTGAAAAATATAAGGTTAACAATAAAAAAAATGAACATAAAAAATATACAAAGTTAACAAAATACAAATAAATATGCGTATAAGAAAAATATATACAAAAATCTATGACAGCTAACTATGATTATAGGTAGGCACATAATTAAAGGGTTTTTATGTCCAAATCGCCTTTCAATGATATAATTCCAGGCTGAAGGTAATGGGTTGGCATCTGTCGCATTCGCGCACTGCTGTTTCATCTTGCTCTTATAAAATTATTATTTTTTCCATATCCATAGTGATAGTTGGAGAATGTGCCTTTATAATGATTACCTTAAAACTAATCTTTCCACCTGTGACAATGCTGCTAAAATTGTATTAGTAATACAATTTTAGCAGCATAACAATGTAATACAATTTTGTATTACATTGTTTAAATAACTTGTTCTTTGTTGAGGCAACATAAACAACTACAATGTAATACAATTTTGTATTACATTGTAGTTGTTTTCTTATTAGGTTTCTTTATGTGACACCAAAGTAATCTTTTTGGATGCCCAGCTGTCGATTTTCATAAAGTATTTTGTATACTCCAGCCTGTTCTTCTTTCTTTAGCTTTTCTTTATGATTTTTCAGTAAGATGTAAATGCTAGAAGCTTATTTGTAAACTATCTTCGAGTTTTTATCCGTTTCCTGTTTATTTATACTGTCTCCAAACGGTTTGCTGTATGTGAATTTATTGATCTATCGATGTTTTTTGGAGACTTATCTTTGTTTTCCTCATAACACCTGACGAGTTCTTCTCCAGAGTATGTTTAATACCTTAAAGTTGTAGTTTAAGTTTATTGTTATGCAAAATATAAGGTCAATATTAAATAAGTTATCTATTTAATTCGTTTACATTTAAATTTGTATTTAGAATTCTTCAAACGTTAAAATGTTTTATATGTGTAGAATTTATATTTATTACCTGAAATGGAATTTTTCTTTACAGAAAGCCCCGCAAGTAACCTATAACAAAATGGAAGATAAATCGAACCGTCGCCATACGAGTTCTGATAAAATCGATAGCAGAGGAGATATACGTAAAGTTTACGAGTGTAAATTTTGCTCAAAAACTTGTTCATATAAATCGCGTTTAGAACAACATTTAAAAAAACACTCGAACGAAAGACCTTTTCAATGTAGAACGTGCGACAAAAGATTCAAATATGAAAATTCATTGACTATTCACGAGCAATTGCATACAAAAGAAAAACCGTTTAAGTGTGAAATTTGTTTCCAATCTTTTACCCTTAGTGTATATTTAAAAAAACACAAAAAAGTTCACGAACCTGGAAAAACTGCGAAGAAAAAAAAATATGATTTGCGTAGTAAATTCCATGTGAGACAAGCAAATGACCGAAATGAAAGTCTAGAGGAAGCAGGACCGTCGTCGGCTCACATTTACGAAGGGATGGCGCAGGCAAGATTGTCTTCAGCTAACATTTACGAAGGAATGACGCAGGCAGGACAGCCTTCAGCTCACATTTACGAAGGGATGACGTAGACAGGACCGTCTTCAGCTCACATTTACGAAGGGATGACGCAAGCAAAACCGTCTTCAGCTCACACTCACGAAGGGTTGACGCAGGCAGGACCGTCTTCAGCTTACATTTACGAAGGGATGATGCAGGCAGGACCATCTTCAGCTCACATTTACGAAGGGATGAAGCAGGCAGCACCGTTTTGAGCTCACACTTATGACTGGACATGCAGGCAGGACAGTCTTTACATCACACCCACGAATGGATGATGCACGCAGGATTATCATCAGGTCACACTAACGAATTGATGATGCAGGCAGGAGAGTCTTTACCTCAAACCCACGAATGGATGATGCAGGCAGGGTTATCATCAGCTAACTCACCAATGGATGATGCAAGCAGGACAGTCTTTACCTCACACCCACGAATGGATGATGCAGGCAGAGTTACCATCAGCTCACACTCACGAATAGATGATGCAGGCAGGGTTACACAGCTCACACTCACAAATTGATGATGCAGGCAGGACAGTCTTAACCTCACACCCACGAATAAATGATGCAGGCAGGGTTATCATCAGCTTACACTCACGAATGCACGATGCACGCAGGACTGTCTACAGCTCACACTGACGAATTGATGAAGCAGGCATGACCTTCTTCAGCTCACACTCACGAAGGAATGATGCAGGCAGGATCTTTCTCTATTGAAAATCCAAGTTAAACTCTGGATGAACAAAGAAAAGTCAAAGTGAAAAAGAATAAAAAAAACCAATATACGCCGATGAAATCAATTTGAACATCAAAAATTTATTAGAATAATTATAGAATTTTGTAAAACGAAAATACCGATGAAACGAACATATTTAAAATTTTAGTTATATTCGCAAATTTTTTTAATGATTTCAACTTTTTTTTTATTGAATATTTGTATTTTGAATAATTTTACAATTATAATTAAAAACAGTTTCTATTTTATTGAAAATCTTTTATTTCATTCATTTGATCGAAGGGAAACATTCAACCGTTAAGACTACACCACAGCGATAACATAGTCCAACTTCAGATATGCATTATATGCAATAGAAAGAGTCAGTGACTTATTTTAAGAGACTTGTGCTTTGTTGAAGCAACATAAATTAGTCTCGTGTTTTAGTACTTTGGTATATACAAAATTTAATTTAAGGAATTAATAGATTCGAAAGAAAAATAGAATGATGACTCTATAGACGAGCCTTAACCGATTCAGCTCCATGTCCCACACATATTGCAGTTACGCAATTTGATCAGACAACATTAGTAATGGTTGAGCATTTCGTAAAATTAGCAAAAGTTTAAATATATTTGGTAAATTTGTACCTAGGGATCGTCCATAAATTGACTAATCTAACGCTATGTTTATATCTTTCAAAAACCCCTTTACTTCGTAACTCTGTTGCACATATGCACTTCAAAATTACATATCCTAAATCTTAATCGACCGATAAGTGTACTAATGATAATAAGACTTAGTGAAATGAATTACCTGAGTTACTTAACTTCCCGAATCTCTCAGACAGTGATAGTTACCGTTTGGGAAGTTGACGCAGTTGTTATTTAGTCCGTTGGCGGGTCAGAGGGGGGTCGATTTGTAATTACAATGCAGTATAAAGAACTTGAAATTTTCACAAATATGTAAAGAATGGTTTAGGCAACACGACACCTGGTCGATGCCTTCGAACATGACATTCATAGGAAATTGACCTCTATTTAGGTGTTATAGACGTGAAGATAACACGTAACCAGCCAAGGCAAGGCTAAAACCCACAATCAACTATTAGATTTCAGTAATTTCTTCCACTGGGCCACTGGAGGAATGTTGTTCTATTGTAAATTCAAGATTTTTAATGTTCCAATCAATCGAGATAATGTGTTTTTGTTACCTGATCAAATGTCAGTTTGAAGACAAAGAATGATGTGTGAACCATTATAAGTGAGTATAAGTTAAGGCCTAATGTGAGATCCGAAAGGTCCTGGGTCTAATTTATGAATTTTATTAATAATGGTAAAATATCAACACAAAATATTACTTCATTTTTTGTGAAAACTAGTGTTTTGGACGTGGGAAAAACCAGATAACAGATGTTACTTCTTTTCACAGAAGAGAACATCCTCTGACTTTCCCTTATCGGGTTAAAAATCTCGCTCAGATGGGAAATGGTTACCCCTCATTCATCCCCCTTTCGTCCGTTCTCATGAAAGAGTTACTGAACGATGATTGGTCGGAATTCAGGAGATATAAGGGAATGTAGTCCGAATTCGAGGAGTTCTTCGACAGATCCGAAGCGTCTGAACTCCACGCAGTTTTCCTCCTGATGACCAACGCCCTTAACGGAGTCCCATAGACTAAGTCCCGAGTCTATACGTAGAAGTGATACTTTCATATTTTGTGCACGAATTGATCTCCCGTATGAAAGTAATAGGAACTCTGTCTACAAGGTGTCCTTTACCTACAGAAACGAAGACGACAACAACTAAACAGGTTGTATGTTTTAGAATGATTTTGTGAGCTCTCTCTCTCGATCGCGCATTAACATAGAATAGGTTTTAGCCTATAGCTTGTCGCTTAATTGTTGTTATCGATTATTTGTATTCGTTTTGTTTTCGAATTACTAAATTTACGTTTGTTAAATATACCTAATGTCTCTTCAATTGATTCCGAATCAGATCGCAAACGCGTGTTAATCCGCGTACAATAAGATTGATTAACTGGTGTCGGGAACCTGACAGGAATCGGAACTTCGCCGTTCAGATCATTTTTTTTCGCTCTCCTATATAAAACTTTTAAGATCGGATCTTACGATTCGAAACTTTAGAGAACAATTCTCACGGAATAGGCCGAGTAAGTGGCACCCTTAGTAGGCACCCCCGGCTGATCTCACACTAAGCTTTGAAACGAGACTATGATGGTATTACAAAAAAAACAAACATGTGTAATCACTCGCAGAATTAGCGCTACCATTCTTTTTTAACAAAATAAAAGACAAAAGTTCAATACTCTCAGATCTCAGTATTCTCGAAAATTCTAAATCTGAAAAAATTAAATCATCGAAAGTGGAACAACATCAATCGAAGTGGTGACATTTATTTTTTTTTTTGGACTTTTCTGAACGCCATATTTAAACTTCAAAATGTGGAGAGAAGCCAATTAAGCCACATTCAATGTTTTCATTCTGTCCTGTGATGCAGACAGAATTAACCAAATCACAATTATCTTGAAATCGCTCAGTTTGCCAGCTGCACATTCAAATTTCAAATAAGTAGTAACGTGTCGAAAAGCAAGATGGCTTCCTTTATGGTTTATGTGATTTCGTATCAATGCCCGTTATGTCGTTATACGAAAGAGAGTGTAGAAATTGTAAAAGTGCCAGTTTTATAATAAGCAAGTGATATCTGAATTTTTTTTTCGAATGGTAAGCTATCATTCTAATTTATTTGTGGCTACTTTGAATTCTCAGTCGTAAAGAAAATTCAGTTGATGGTTAAATTTTACAATTGGAACCTTTCTTATAACTTTTGTTTTTCGAAAGATAAAAGAAGGGTCGAAAGTTATCAAAATTCCCCTCGAAAATAAATATGAATAATTTAATTTTGTACAATGTGTAACAGAATTGTAGTAATAACTGTTAAGTTTTCATTTCTTAACTTCAATTTGTAATATTCTTTTTGCAAATTTAGATATATTATAATAATACATCTGCAACAACTAATGAGTTTTCTTATTGAATTTTCACTTATTTTTCTGAATACTAAATTTATTGTTGTCTTTTTTCATCTGTATGATACTAAAAACAAAAATAAAACTATAGAACCATACGTGATGTAGAAAACCGAATATTATTTCAAGACATGGTGTTATCATAATAACATTGCTTGGGGAACGTCGTGATTTAGGATTACCTTTCACTCTGAGTAGTGAAAGCTGTTCATTTGCATTTAATCTGCCAGAAGACTTGCTATCTCCACAGCCTGAAGTATTTCTATCTCCAGTCCATCAGTTCAGTGTATTGCGGCCGTTAAACGTGAGGCAGCAAACCAGCGGCAACATGAAGAACGTCTGCAAAGGATGAATAATTCATTAAAACGGTTCATAGAAAAATTAAGATAACAAATTAAAAAAAATAAATAAAAGTAGTTTGCAATCTTTTTTCTTGGTAGCAATTTTTATAAACTACAATAAAGCATCGATTATCCAAATCGATTGGAGACTGGGGTTTTTCGGAAGATCAATGTTTCGGATAATCGATTATGTACAAAAAATATATTAATTTATCTCATCTTTACATTTTTCTCCGTTGCGTGTCGCTTCGCGTTGAATTTCAGTCGATGTTAAGCCTAACGCAGACTATTGTATCGTTGAAAATTATTTTTTTATTTTGTACGAACAAATCAAATATATTAAAAAATATTTAAAGCAATAAAAAATTACACTTCAAAAGTTAATTTAGTATCTAAAATGTAAAATATTTGAGTAGCCCAAGACATAGCCAAAATTTGCAGCGCCACAGCACTGGCAAAAATTTAAATTTGCCAACTGGAATTCTTTCGGATGATCGACTTTCGGATAATCGACGCTCTACTGTATGTGCAAAATGTTCGTAATTAACTTATATTTTATTGATACAACCATAAATACACAGCTTAGTAGTGGGATCCTTTGCTTATTACTAAATGTCTTTCTTGGTTTATATTCTAAGTTAAATTTTGCTGGATTATAAGTTTTTAGAAATTCGGTCTCGCTTTGCATTTTCACCTTGCTTTTGCTTAATGACACGTGATCTTAGATATACTCCAAGGTTATCATTGCCTGGATTTTGGAAGGCATTAAAAATGTTAGTTGTTATACATGTATATAATACCAAAACTTAGGGTAAGAAAAATTGATATACTTTTTCTAGTTCAATATTTTCATCTTGTAGGGTTTCCCCTCTTGTCATGCAAATGTTGTGTAACACACAAGAATCCATTACAACAGATGATATCGACAATCCATTTTTCACATGATTAAATAATGCAGTTTTCTCCACCTTCCTTTGAGGTGAACAAATGATCGTTCAATTACTCTTCTAGCTGATAATTTTTAATTGTAGCCTCATGTGTCCGGTGTCAGGATAAGGTGTTATCAAATGCTAATTGATTGCATAAGCACTATTTCCAATAATAAGAAAACATTGTTTCAGCTTTCTTGACTATTATCTCAAACAATGAAGAGCGGGCATAAATCTCGGAACGTGGAAACGGCCCATTTACCAGTGTGAGGATAACCGGAAATAAAAGTATATAAAGTCTCTACCTCTTACCAGCAACAGATCCACAAGATCCGTCCATTGAGTCGTAGGATGGAGATTTTATGTCGTCGTTAAAAGTAGACGTGAAGACTAGGGGATGTTAAAATCGTCCTCTCCTGTCAGGATTCCCGACATTAGATAGGAGAGCTGTTAAACGACGACGAGTGGGATGAGTCGCGGTAAGCGCTTGGTTCGAGATTAATCGTTCAGGCCATTACAAAACAATAACAAAATTTAATAAAACAAATGAAGTAAAATAGAAGATTCTGAGAGACCATTAAATTCCTAGATTAATCTATTCGCGCGAAAGTGAGTTTACAATGTTAGAATTATACTAACTAAACTTACGTAGCATACGTACACTTCTCAGAGTCGGAGAATTCGGGAGGTGGATAATGAATGAGGGATCTTTTTCTCTTATGAAAACGCACAAGTTAAAATAATTCGACGAAAAATGGTTTTATGGCAGCGGACTACAGTAGTTCATGTGGCATCTCAGGGACTTCGAGAACTGTTCCGAATGCCTGAAAATCCCCCTTTATAGAAGGTTATCTGCACCATAGCGTCCAAGGGACACACGGAATGTGTAACGAGTGCAGAGAGTAAACTGATATATAGATAAGGCCGTGTGAGAAAAAAAGTTGATATCCTCTTGCTCCAAACGCATAACATTTTTTTTTCAAAAAAACAACTTATGTACAAATTTAATTTATTTTCTCTGCTAAATTGATTAAGAAATCGCGGTTCTCACACCAGCATAGCAGGAGATAATAATCATGAAATTGTCACACAGTTGATTGTCACAAGTGATTGTCTACATTAATGTATAAAACGTTGTGACAATTTTCTATTCATGCACTAAATTACTTTGTATCAAAAGTGACACCACATATTTTGTAAGATTATAGAATGGTAACCGTGACCGTTTACATTCGCGACTGCATGTATCTGTGGAGATGGTATTTTAATGTAAGTGCCATCAATAGCTTCTACTACACCTGAAAGCCACTCTTGTCGTGAAAACTTTGACTAATTTGCTGAGCTTGCTTTTATGAAAACCATTTTATAAACTGTTGTACAAGTTCTGAGAGAGCAGTGATGAGAGATCGATATATTAAATATCTTATTACTACATAAAAATTATTACGAAGAGGTTAATGTTGATCAACGTAAACTGCAGGATTACTGGTTGAATTTATTTCGTAGTGTTGTTAATATGTAATCATATGCCTCACGTTTCCTAAAAACCATAAAGTCATCAGTACCTTATCGCATGCTAAAATGTAGTGATATTATTCTAACATTTTGTGTAAAGCAGTTTGAAACCCGCAGGTTTGAGATTGGACGTACATTTCCATCGTTATAATCTACAAATACGTCAATACATTCTGGCTTCATCAAAATATTGGTCTTGTGATGTTGTGTACATTTGCAAAACCATGTTTAATTGTCGTGCGGATTCTTTAAACTTACAACCGGCAATTGATCTACAGACATTATACTGGGTATTACAAAATTTCGCATCGAATAACATTGTCCTGTTTCGTCTCTATATGGAAGACACGTGCATCATTTTGACTAAATAATATGCTTCATTTACTCAACCACATCCGCAAGGTCCTTATTTTTAGAAAAAATTTCTGTCTATTCGTAGTGTTTCATCTGGTAGACCAAACGAAACATAATGTTATATAAGCTACCGACAGGTATTTGTTGTTGTAAAAAAGACAATGAACTGATATTAAACACTGTGTTTTAAATACACTAATTTTGAGTACAAAAAAAAACTTAATAATTTACTTTAAGTACAATATTTCACTTTAAAAATTTAATAATCAAACAATAACTTCAATAATTTTTGGTATAGTACTTATTATTATAGAAAGAATACATAAAATGGTTTCGTATACAGATATCACTCGTATAATACGATAGTTACGTTCTAAAAAAAGCGCGTGTTATGCAAATACCGAGCGACTTTTTTTCAAAATTCGTGTTCGAATACAGAGTTGTTCGAGTACCGAGATACCGCTGTATTTTTTTCTTCGTTTTAACAAATGCTTTTAAAAATAAAATAAGGAATTGCTTTTACTTTGAGGCCGAAATCGATTCAGTAAAATAAATTATGTAAATTAATGATACGTCAATCCTTTGCCAAATTCTTATAACATTGGTTGTTCTATGAAACCAAAATAAAATAAAATTTATTGATTATTCGCAAAGAGTTCAAAATTCTATTCATTTATCACAAACACAACTAGAGTATATTTATGGTAATTAAGCAGCAACTGAACCGACGCTTGAGAAGGAGATATGTGGAAATTAGAACCTTGTTAATTTTCTAAAAAAAAAACTTGCCGTAAGTATAAAACTCACTGCAATTTATATTTTAAATTCGAATTACATTAAAATATTACCGAGGTCTTTGATAAAATTAGTAAACATTTCTTTATACCCTAAAGAGATCAGTTAAACTCGAAGATTTATCGTGTACAAGGCGTATTTTCTTGTCTATTAGTTATGTTTTAATGGCAATTTGTCAACTAAAAAAATTATGCGATATTTAATGGCACAGAATTGCAGCTTAATAAGCATTTCTTTTGCTTACTGCTGTTCTACACTTTGAACGAGTGCCGAAAAAGTGACTGCTTCTACTCTATACATAACAAAACCATTTTCGATTATGGTTCTTCACATTGATTCTGAAAATTATTGAACTCTTTTTTAAATATTAATCTCGAAGCATGTATTTGTATCGTTTATTTTTACTTTCTATCCCTTTAATCATCATAGAAATTTCAATCAGATAAATGATCTAAAAAGGGTAATTAATGCTAGTGATAGAAATTAACGTATTAGATAGTGAAAATAGTATAGCTCCAAAATTTTATTTAAAATTGTTAATTTATAGATATATAAATTTCCACTGTCTTCTGTCTGTCTTTTATTAATCTGGAGAAAAAGAATACCTTAGAGATAGAAGGCCCAAATTAACTACATAGTATTTTTCGGTGTCAACTGGAAGTTACATTGTCATTGTATCACGTACTTTATTACGCACTTCATACTTCTTAATTACTGCTACGTTTCGATTTCTTGTTTCAACCGTTTATTTAATTCTAAATATATGTTACTATCTGGAGTCTATTGTTTAAAACTCATATTCTCGACTAATGTGTATTTTATTGCTTCCCAATGCAGAAAAATGGAATATACTTGTTCAGATTGCGGAATGACATTTTCTGAAAAAAGTGCATATCTTGATCATCAGACGACTCATGCAGAAAAGACATTCAAGTGTGATAGGTGCTTACTAGTATTTCAAGATTCAAAACATTTAGATATACATAAGAAAATCCACTCAGAAGTGAGCTGGCATATGTGTGAAATATGCAATTGTGGATTCACTGGAAGAAAAGCTTTCGAACAGCATCAAAACACGCATACAGAAAAACAACAATATACATGTATAACTTGCGAGCAGATATTTAAAAATGATGGAGATTTACAAATCCATGTAAAAAGTGTACACAAATCTAAAAGGTCTAATTATATTTGTGAAATATGTAATAAAGAGTTTGATGACATAACGACGTATGAGATTCATTGTACACTTCATCAAACCTCGAAGAATCTAATGTGGAAAGCAAGACGTTCTCCATACAAAGTTTTGGAGGTACAACAAGTGCAAGCAAATTCACCTAAAATTGAAATCTTGGAGGTACCACAGACGCAAGCAGAAACTTCCTCACTTAAAGCCATGCTGGTATCACAGAGGAAAGGAAGACGTTCCTTACCTAGAACCTTGCAGGTACCACAGAAAAAAGCAAAACCTTCCTCATTTCAAGCTTTGTGGGAACCACTGACACCCATGCCAATTAGTGAATTCGAAAAACTATTTACAGAGAGTAAACGACAAGAGCCTGATTCAACTGAAGCCATCTGGAAACTATTGGGCCAAGCAGAACATTTCTCACAGCAAACCCTGCAGGAACAATTAGTGCAAGCACGTCCTATCTCAACACAAACTTTGCAGGAACTTCAAATGCAAACAGGACCTTTTCCTCCATTTTCGACTTTCAAGCATTCTTCCTCAACACAAACCTTGCAGGAATTACAAATGCATTCATTCGCTTCAACTTTAGAAGAACTAAAGCAGTTAGAAGGAACTTCGTCTTCTCCGATCCTGCAAGAACTACAAAAACAACCAAAACCTACCACAACTCCAAACATGAAGACAATACGAGAGCTTGCACAAAGTTTGCCATCTCCAATCTTGGACAAACCCAAAGTACAAGCAATACCGTTGTCAATTTTAAACCAGCAGGAACCATTAATGCAAGCAGGCCCTTCTTCAACACAAAACTTGCACAAACCACCAATGCAACCAGAACCTTTATCAACCCCAACCCTTGAGGAACTAAGGGTGTTAGAAGGATCTTCATCATATCCAATCCTGGAAGACGTAGACAGGCTTGTAGAAGCTTTTTCAGTTCCAAAGTTGCAAGAACCACAAGTACAAGCAATACCGTTGTCAATTTCAAACCAGCATAAACCACTAACGCAAGAAGGTCCTTCCTCAACAAAAACCTCACAGAATTTTCAAATGCAAACAGGACCTTTGCCCCCATTTTCTACTTTCAAGCATTTATTTTCTACACAAACCATGCTGGAACCACAAATGAAAACAGGACCTTCGTTACTTCCAACCGTGGAAGAATTAAGGCTGTTAGAAGGCATTTCGTTGTCTCCGATCCAGCAGGAACGTCAAAAACGACCAGAACCTACCACAACTCCAGACGTGAAGACAGTACGGNAAATTGAAATCTTGGAGGTACCACAGACGCAAGCAGAAACTTCCTCACTTAAAGCCATGCTGGTATCACAGAGGAAAGGAAGACGTTCCTTACCTAGAACCTTGCAGGTACCACAGAAAAAAGCAAAACCTTCCTCATTTCAAGCTTTGTGGGAACCACTGACACCCATGCCAATTAGTGAATTCGAAAAACTATTTACAGAGAGTAAACGACAAGAGCCTGATTCAACTGAAGCCATCTGGAAACTATTGGGCCAAGCAGAACATTTCTCACAGCAAACCCTGCAGGAACAATTAGTGCAAGCACGTCCTATCTCAACACAAACTTTGCAGGAACTTCAAATGCAAACAGGACCTTTTCCTCCATTTTCGACTTTCAAGCATTCTTCCTCAACACAAACCTTGCAGGAATTACAAATGCATTCATTCGCTTCAACTTTAGAAGAACTAAAGCAGTTAGAAGGAACTTCGTCTTCTCCGATCCTGCAAAAGGATCTTCATCATATCCAATCCTGGAAGACGTAGACAGGCTTGTAGAAGCTTTTTCAGTTCCAATGTTGCAAGAACCACAAGTACAAGCAATAACGTTTTCAATTTCAAACCAGCAGGAACCATTAACTGAAGCAGGTCCTTTTTCAACACAAACCTTGCAGCGACCACAAATGCAAGCAGGACCTTTGCCCCCATTTTCTGTTTTCAGTCATTCTTTTACAACTCAAACTCTTGACAAAGAGGGAAAAAAGTAAATGTGAAACTAAATAAACAAAATGTTTAAAATACAAAATTTTGAAAAATTAATTAGTACCAATTAACTTAGTATATTTTTATAACTATATTAACATTTTTAGTTGTGCCTTAATGTGTTAAACTTATTTTTTAATTCAGAACATTTTTGTGTTTTAAATTGATTCTATTGTCAATTGTGTTCGAAAATAAAATAAAACTTTAAAAGTTGAAAACAATGCTCTATTGATTTGATCAAATGTATACACCACGCATTAAATACGGGCTTACATCACAAATAATAGTGCTAGGCGCAGTAACGTAATTTGGGATGTATGGGACTTGGGACAAAAACAAAAACTGCACTCTTGGGTGACCTGTTTGGAAATAACTCTTTCAACTTTAGGTAATAATAGTCGTTTTATGACTCATATTTGTGGTAAGGGTTTTCTAGTAGTTTAGCTTTACTATGCAATTTCGATCAACCGTTTGTTGAGAACTTATACGTTTCAAAATGTCGTGTTTTTTCAGCATTACTATGTGGTTTTTTGGAAAAATTTAAACTGAACTCAGCGGCGTACGTTTTACTAATTCAGCCAGACACGAAAACACAGCATTGATCACATTCTTCTAACGTTCTGTGAAAAGCAGTTTTAAACCCTCAAATTCAAGGAAGGACGTGAATGTCTGATGTCATAATTGTTAAGAAGAAACATTTAAAATACGCAATACGCAGCTAGCAGCTTACATGTGAATCTAGCAACTGGTTAAAACATGCAAAACAATAAAAGAGAATTTGTCTATTAATTTATAATCATATCATATGATGATATTAAATTTCAGCAATGTTGTATAGGATATACTAGTTTTGAAATAATAGGACCACTTTAATCTCTAAATAAGTGATTTTATTTATTATTAATAAGCAATATGTCCACCATGCTTATTAATTATTTCTAAACTATCTGGCATTAAAATATAAAATTTCGTCTACAAGTACGTATCTTCTAATATCAGGACTTTGTAGCATTATCTGTAAAGCCAGTATAATAAGTCCTGATATTAGAAGATACGTACTGTACTTGTAGACGAAATTTTATATTTTAGTAAGTCAAGGACATTGAGGCATTTTAATTAAATCTGGCATTGTTTTCATCTGTGTTTTCGTGTCAAGCATCAATTATTGCCAGTTTTACAGATTCGACTGATGTGTATTGCTTTCAATTCCTGCATACTTTCCTTGCTAAGACACAAAACATGTTTTCTACGGGATTAACGTCAAAAGAACACGTGGCCAGTGAATAACATGAACGTCATTTACTAAAAACCAGTCCCTAGTAAATATTGCATTAGAAGTGGATTGAATTATATTCTAAACATTGGACAAATTTCATTTCAATTCGCAAGGAGACATTTCGAATCGCATTTGTTCTGAGCTTTGACCAAATTATTGGGCAGCAGCCATATACACACGATAGCTTTTCACCCAATGGCAAACGACCTAGTGGAAAAGAGACACCGCAGACTCAAATCGACTCTCAAAACTTGCTTGATCGAGCACTTGACAGAGGTCTTACCTTCAGTGCTACTAGGGATGCGAGCGCCTTTAAAGAAGACATCAAGGCAACAACCGCCGAACTCGTCTACGGGACGACCTTACGACTAGCCGGCGAGTTCCTCGCCCCTACACTGACAAACTCAAACGCAGCAGTTTTCGTCCAACAGCTCAAGGAGCAAATGCATCAACTGACACCAACGCCAACGAGATGTCACGGGGCAAAAGACGATATTCGTCTCCCAGGACCTACAAAGCTGCACACACGTTTTCGTGCGACACGACTCAATACGGCCACCTCTGCAACTGCCGTACGACGGACCCTTTCCCGTATTGCAGTGTACAGACACATTTTTCAATGTCCGCGTACGGCAAAAAGAGACAGTTATCTTTATAAGACTTAAACCGGCTTACTGTCTGACGGAACACCCTTCACAAAGCGAGAAACCACTAACAGACAACAAACAAGAGACAGACGTACACGACCCTAAACCATTGAGCACCACGCACTCGAAACCATAAGCCGAAACCAAAACCACGACGCACTCCGGAAGACGCGTCCGATTACCGGCACGTTCTCGTTATCCTCACGATTGTTTACACTAGGAAGGGGGTACTGAGGCAATCGGCAACACTGCACCGTCCCCAACCGGCGTGACGTCAGAGGTCGAGGCTAACCACCCACTTTTTGGGGTCGACGTACTCAGAGTAGGACGTCCATTTTGTGTGCCTCACGATAAACTTCGTTATAAGCTTTCTGTATATAAAGTTGTAACTATCTGTAAATAAACTCGTAATATCATCATTTAGATTTTTTCCTCTGCATGAGGAACGAAAATTCGACGACACGCAAGATGCAGATCCTGTTTGCAGATGCGATCGGATTGAACAACTTAGCTGATTTCGACTATCGAGAGGTAGACCCTAACGGTCCCCTCACTCCCTTAGCGCCCACAGGGAGGAAAGAGTTATTAATAAACAACCTAACCCAACTTACTAAGTATCCAACTTCAAAAAATGAGTCGCTCCGTTTACAAACGACTCCCTTTGACTAGAAAGAAAATTGATACAGATAAAACAAATGCACATATACATATACTACAAACTTATTTCATTAATAAAAGTTCATACAGTACTGTAGTTGCAAAATAATTCATTATTATGTTTCAGCTACAAATAGTTCATATTCGCTACTTTTGCAGCACAACCTTGCTACTTTTTAATCTACAGATCTGGCAGCATTGATAAAAACACCTAATAGAGTATAAAATGTATTTTCTTGTCTATTACTTACGTTTTTATTATTTGTCGTCAAAAAAAAAGAATTTTTACGATGTTTAAATAAATTAATAATTGAAAATTGGTTCTTTTAAGCAGCATTTTAAGTAGCTAAGTAATCATTTATTTGCTACTGCTGCTCTCCACTTTGAATAAATGCAATAATAGTGTCTGCTTGTACTTTTATTGAAAGTACAAGCAGACACTAGACAATAAAACAAGAACATTTTCGATTCTGATTTTTAATTTTATCATTGGTGAAGAAAACTTTTAGACTTTTATAACATTAATGTTAAAGCATATATTTGGGTCGTTTAATTTACACGATGTTCCTGCACTCATCTGAAAAGAAATTTCGACAAAATAAATGATCTAAAAAGTAATGAGTATTACTGAAAGACATTGAATACAGCCAGATTAAACAGTGAATTCGCTTCTAATGTTTAAATTATAATGGATACTTTTAATGGTTTATATTGTTAAACGAGCATTGAGTTAGAATTTTTCAATATAGTTTTTTTTTTACTTTAACTTTAGTAACTATTTCTATTAAAGATTTTTTTTAAATAACTAAATAATAAATGTACAAAGTTAACAGAATACTAATAAATATGCGTACAAAAATATATATATATACAAAAATCAATAAGAAATAATCTGTAAGAGCTGAATATGATTATAGGGAAGCCCACAATTCAGAGGTTTTTATGTCCAAATCGTGTTTTAGAAGGCCTACTGGGTATTCCTTCATACACGAATTTCTAAAACTACGTTAAAGGCCTGCTTCTCCAACAGTATTACAGTCGCTTTACAAACCAATGAGACTATTTGAGCATTAAAAAACAATTACTATGGTTTTTGAAATATTGAATGTTAATAGGGTTTGCTTGCAAAATCCGCGTGAGCGAAGCCGCGGGCAGCAGATAGTAATATAATAAAAATGTTGTCAAAAGCAATGTACTGGTACCTATAAATTCGACTGTACTGTACACTTAATTTCTCAAATTAAACCCCGGAATTATTGAGGCAAACAGAATCTTCTTCTTCACTAACCTGTCGAAATCACAAACGGAAGCGAAAGCTTCCTTAACTGAAATCCTGCAAGAAGAACGGCAACAAGCAATTTTCTACGTAATTCTTACAGAAACATTGAATGCAAGCACTTCTTCTTCAACTGCAACATTGGAGCAAGAATAGATGCAAGCAGTACGTTTAACTCAAACTCTGTTCAGTGTCCGTGCCCCTTACGTTTTGTACAATTCAAACTCTGAAAGAAGAGACTGAAGCAAAACCGTTTGTTCAACATCTTGCAGGCAGAATGGATGCATGCAGGTCCTTCTACCGAAACCTTGCAGGAAGAATAAATCTCAACCTTATTTCTCTGTTTTTCTTCGACTAAAACACCGAAATAAAGCAACCTCAATCTAAACGATGGTCTTAAAACAGAGACATACACACATCAAAACTACAGGACAGAAATAACTTTCCTATAGTACAAACGGTAAAAATATATCTGTCCTTACAAAACAAAACTACAAACAGTAGAACCTCATAAACTTCTGCTGAAACGAAAATTGCAATCCTCAATTACAAATGGAGCTGCAAAAGGAAGAATTAAAAACATTAGAAAAAGGCATTAATTCGTTCGTATGGGAGGACATATCGGAACGAGCTCTACACAAATAAATGAGTCTTCGTACCGTGATTAGAACCGCAAGTCATGTTATATCAATTCAATAACTTTTCCCGAAAGGTAATAGATAGATGACAGGCATGACTCTATTGTTAAAGAAAAAGTATAGTGTGCAAAAGCATATAATGTAATTTATGCGATAAACAATCAATAAACGTAATTTATCGACCTGTAAACTGAACAAGTTCAGTGTACAATTGTCTTACAGGAACATCACGATGTGCCGATTTATTTGATGTGGTTGGTCAGGTAATTGAGCTTCATCTTGCTGCATACTCCGCCCATCATAAGTGTCATCATCCATGTTAGCGAAACATGTTCGCTTTAGTGGTCTTTGTGGCAATACTGGTTGTCTATAGAGATGATGATAAAAATTGAACTTTGTAGGAACCGATGTTTTATGCAAATAGGTGTATCTAGTTCTTCAGTTTTCTAAATGCCACAGCTAATGTTGCCATCTTAATTGTAAATTTCATAATCTAACTACTCATTTTAGTTTTAATACTGAACCTTAAATAAAAGTGTGGGTTATTGTCGTCCTGTGTTCAAACTCTCTGTGATATTCTTGTAGAGTTTGTAGTCCGTGAAAAGCCTTCCGTGGTTTTACCTATGTTTTATTTCTGAATTCAAATATGGACTTCATCGTCTTCCATGCTACACTACAGTAAACCATATCTCTTCAAAGTATTCAAATATCAGACAGAAATTCACCAGTTTTGTCATCAGGTGATTAGAATAATTCACTAAAAGTTTCAGCAAACTCACTGAGTGACAAATAATAAAGCTTGAATAGACTTTACGTTAATTGCATTTTTTTACATTCATATACCAAGTCAAATCCCGTATTTTAAACCCCATAAAGTTGTATCTCTCTCCACAAGCAGTACCCGAAACGGAAAAAGCATCCACAAATGTTTGTATTTGAGGATGCTCTTTCCGTTCACGTTAAGATTCTGTTAATATCCGCCTTTAATATTTAGTAGTGACTAAAACAAGATTCAGATTAGTCCCAGCCGCGTCATGGTTATGTCAAAATCTTTTCTCTTGTACCTTAAGATACAGTATACTAAGGCATTAATTAATTATATGAATAAGAATCTTTAAAAAAACCCTACTATCCAATACTTAAAATTGATTTGGAAATGTTAATGCTGATTGCTTTTCAATAATGCAGATTGCATTTTACTATTAACAGTATGATAAAAATGTAATGTAATTAATTTTATTGAAATTTCCTACAAGTATTTAATTATCTAGTCAAACTCTAATTTTCGGCAAAATGTTTAGCCACAAATTTTTCCGGCGATTCCATTTCGAAGCCTTTATCGTTTTGAACTCCGTTGCATCTGTCCAGAATCGGGACTACACAAAGATTTAATACATTTGAATAAATATCTAATAAAACAGCTAGTTTGAAATGAAACGAGTTACGTTATTGGTGAGATTATCCATCCGAATTATTGTCGCTGTATCAGACAACGGGCCCACCAGTCGCCAAGCGATTTCGTATCCTGAACACTGGGAGTTCTGTTGTGGGTTCGCGCTTCGCCAGGTCTGCCTGGCCACGTAAAGTTTTCCGGGTTATCTCCACATTTGTAATGCCTGATAAGATACCAGTTACCCTTAAAAGACCTCTGGAATAGCATCCACCTAGGAGATCGCCCAAGTGTTGCAGTCATACAAGTTAACAAACAAACAAACAATCAGACAATGCCTTTATTTTAACGCGAATAATTTCGTTTAATTCGATAAATTTTTAACACAATTAATTCGTAATAATTTTAAAATTGATAATTTAGCTAAATTTAGTTTTAAAACTTATATAGATCTCTGTTATTTATTTTTACCGTGATTTTTTTTCTTTACTGGGTGTTTGCGTTTGAGGTCGCTGAAGCAAAACGCAGAAATGTAATCGAGATTGAGTAGAACTTTTCGCTTCCACTTGTTCGTCATCATGGATATGAGAAGCAGATCCTCCTTAAAAATCTTCTTTGGCCGAAGTTTAAGTTGAAGACGAATTACGAAAACTGGATAATGTTCGTGTTAAAGGTTCTGCATGCATCAATATTTTTTTCGAAGCTTCACTTGAAGAAGATTCTTCTTGGATCACACCTCTCCCCGAAATATCAGTAAAGAAAAGTCCTGCTTGCTTCTAGTCTAAGGATTTGAGATGGTCAGATTGCTTCCCTTTTTCATCTGACATTTGTTTTGAAGAAGACAAACGAATCACGGAAACTGGGAAGAATTTGAGTAGAAGGTCCTACTAAATGTGATAATTCAGTTAAAAAAGATTCTTACATCGCACCTTCTTCCGAAATTTCAGTAGAGAAAAGTCCTGCATGAACTTCTTTTTTACATGAAGTTTAAGCTGAAGATCAACAAACAAATCATGGATACTAAACAGAATTTGTGTCGTAGATCTTGGTTGCATCCCTTCTTGGGTTAGTGCTTTTATCAGAGTTGGTATTGTAAAAGGCATTAATTGTTTGTGCAGCATTGAAATTAACGGAGATTCTGTTATCATGAATAATTCTTGCAAAATTGCAGTAATAGCAAAACCTGCTTACGTCAACAATTTCTGAAGAAGAGCACATATATAAAGTTCTATCTGCATCGATAATTTCTCTAAGGAGTATGTGGATAAAGTTACTGCTTATATCTCTGGTCCTCCAGGGTTTCTGTTGAAGTAAGTCCTGCTTGCATCCGTGGTTTCTCTACAATTTGTGATGAGAAAGCTTCATCTTGCATCCCTGATTCGTCTAGGGTTTCCGCTGAAGACGGTCCAGGTTGCATCATCGGTTCCTCCACAGTTTGTGGTGAAGATCTGCTTTGCATCAATGGTTGCCAAAACATGTGTGTTGAGAATGATCGTTTTTGCATCTGTGGTTCCTTTACAATTTGTGTTGAAGAATATCCAGCTTGCATCCGCGGTTCTTGGAGAGTTTGTGTTGAAAAAGGTTCTGTTTGCATCCTTGATTCATCTAGAATTTGCACTGAAGACGGTCCGGGTTGCATCAACGGTTCCTGGAAAGTTTGTGCTAAAGGTCTTTTATACGTTGATAGTTCCGGCAGGAATGAATGTGAAAAATAAACTGGAGATCGAGAACAAAGTTCGCTCTGAAACGGTGTGCTTCCTGTGTGCAATTTCTCATGAATAATCAACTGATATTTATGTTTGAATCCTTCGTTGCATATTTTACATTGAAAAGGCATTTCGTTTGTATGTTTTCTCAAGTGTATTTCTAGTTTTGATTTATATAAAAAAAATCTTTGAGCAAAATTCGCACTCGAAATTTTTACGTTCATTACTTCTCTCATGGTTTTCTACACAACCTGTTGCGCGACGGTTCGATTTATCTTCCATTTTGTTATACTTGCAGGCTCTGTGAAAAAAAGACAAACTGCACGTCAGTTGCGAACATTAATTCTTAAACTGTATATCTATACAGTTCAGGGTTCGACACAAGAACAACAATATAAAGATCTCAAGGAAATCAGTTATTAAGTAAAAGATGAATAATGAAAAATTTGAAGCATTTAACATAAATGCAGTTCGGATGTGCTCAGCAGAAAAATTAAAAATATTGGACTACATATTCGAGAAAATTTTTAATTACTAACGTTTAGAGCATATTCTTATTGGCTATTATCAGGTTTTTTAAACTGTTTTTAGATTCAGTTTCACAAATAAAACATTTTATTTAAATTTTAAATACAAATTTTAATGTTAATAAAGTAACTAAATAACTTACGAAAAATATAATGTTAACAATAAATATAAATAAACTTAAAGGATAACTTTAGGATGTAGAACTTACTCAATTTAAAAAAGAAATAGAATGGAGTTATAAAGAAAACAGATAATTCTTTAAAAAAACATCGATAGAATTAATAAATTGACATTCAGCTAACCGTTTGGAAGACAGTATAAATAGTTGGTAACGTACAAAAACTCAAAGATAGTTTACAAAACAGCTAATATTAATATTTACAACTTGTTATGAAATGATGAAAACAAATTAAAAAAGAACAAGCTGGAGTATACAAAATACTATGGAAAACTTAACACCTTGGGATTTAAAAGAATTACGTTGGGTTATGTACCTTACTTGTGTCTTATGGTGACACTCAAGGAACACAAATTCATTGTACAAATAGACCATAATTATACAATTTTAGCATCAATGTCACAGGTGCTATATGGTCTACAGGCTGCGATATAAAGTACGAATCGTTAAAATGTACACTCAACCACCATCACTATGGATATGGAAAACATAGAGATTTACAGAAGTTAGATTAAAGAGCCTGCGAAATTTACAACCAAATTTTTATAGTTTTAGTAACAAGAAATTGACAACAATTAATTTTAATTAATTTTTTTTAAAAAAAAGGATATTTAATACAATTAATTACAAAAGATAAACAAAGAAAAAAGTATATAGAAAAATTATAACTTAGTTCTCATCTAACGATATAAACCATTAAAATTATCATTTTATTTCAAACATTACAAGAGAATTTACAGTCTAACCTGACTGTATTTAATGCCTTTCAGTATCTCTGATTACTCTTCAGGTAAATTACTTTGTCGAAATTTTCTTTAAGTGCAGCAATATCGATTAAAATAAACGATTTAAATGCATGCTTCAACATTAATGTTACAAAAGTCTGAAAGTTCTCATCATTAATGATCTAATTAAGAATCAATGTCGAAAATGTTTCTGTTTTATTGAAAGTATAAGCAGTCACTTTTACTGCATTCATTGAAAGTGGAGAGCAGCAGTAAGCGAATAAATGCTTTCTTATCTACTTAAAATGCTGCTTAAGAGCACCTATTTTCAATTATCATTTGATTTAAACATCGTAAAAATTCCTTTACTTATAAACGAACAATGAAAACGTAATTAGTAAAGAAGAAAAGTTTTCCTGTTTATTATCAATTTTTGCGACGAAGCGATTTGATCGAGGATGAAATGTTGGCAAACAATTAGTATAATTCTATTACATTGAAAGATATTGTTAATTTATTATTATTATTATTTAATTTTAAAATATAAATGAAAGTAATGTTTAAACTTACGCAAATCTGTTTTATTTACAAAGGCAAGTCTGGACATTTCACCTTCTCAAGTGTTGGTTAAAACGTTGCTGTATTATCATAAATATATTTTAAATGTATTTGTGATAAATTAATTTAATTTCGAATTTTTCATTAATAATTAACGGCTTTATTTTTAGTTCGGTTTTACGCGGGAATTAATAACATTTCTCGATTTTGACAAATTATTAATTTAAATAATTGTTTAGTTTACTGATTCGAGTTCAGTAGGAAAGTATAAGCAATATCCCGCTTTTAATTGTTATAATAATTTTAAAATGTTGCTTAAAATAAAATATTCTTACGTTACGAATTAATTGAGTTAAAAATTTATCGAACTTAACGAAAATATTCGCGTTAAAATATAGGCGTTGTCGGATAAAGTAACATTAATTCAGATTGATAATCACACCAATAACGTAACTCGTTTCATTTCAAACGATCAGGTTTATTAGATTATTTATCCACATGTGTTAAGTGTTTCTACAGTTCCGTAACTAAACACGTGTAACATTTGCCGGACCACCTGTGATTAAGCGCTTTCTTTTCTTAAACACTGGCAGTTCGATTATGGGTTCGTGCCTCCCCAGACAGACTGGCCACGTGGAGTTTCCTGTGTTTTCTCTCCGTCTTTCCTGTAGAGAATAAATAGGAGTCAGTTACTTTTAGAAAGACCTCCCAAAAGGCATTCTCTTTTAGGTAAATCTCACTAGTATTGCTTTGCTGACACTTAACTAAACAAGCAACAGGTACAACGGCGCCTGAAACGAAGAAGGCTTCGAAATGAAACTGATTGAAAAATTTGTGGTGTGGCTGGATATTTTGCATATCACATTTGTTATCATACCGTTAATATGAAGAAGCAATTTGCATTATTCGATAACAATCAGCATTAACATTCCCAAATTAACTAGGTTGGTAGGTTGCTTTTTTAAACGTTTTATTCATACAATTAATTAATGCGTTAGTATAGTGTATAAGAATAGCACAGATAGTTTGAAAAGGAACGACAATAATTCACACTTTTCTTTAGGATCTAGTTTTAAAAGTAAAAGAAAAGAAGTCAGATTAGGAATTTACAGTTGAGATGATGTACATCAGCAGTGGCATTGAGAAGACCGATTTGGGGATATTAATGCTTATTGTTTCCGAATAATTCAGGTTGCTTCTTGCTATTAACAGTATGATAACAAATTTGATATAAATTATATTATTAAAATTTTGAAATTTTCAGAAAAATATCCAGCCAAAATTTTTTCGCCAGTTCCATTTAGAAGCCTTCTTCGTTTCAGGCCCGATTGCACCCTATGCACCTGTGTAGTTAAGTGACTATAGAAAAACTTAATACATCTGGTTAGAGACTTAATACATCTTGACTAAATGAGTCAAAGTGGGGCGCTTGCCCCACCCTGGCTCACGTAGTCAAAGGTAGAAATATAGGGCAATAGATTATAATGGTATTGCGCGGCATGAAAGCATGTTTGAATCGTGAGGAAAAGATGCTCTCATGTTATTCGGTGACGGGAGTTCTCTCTGGTGAACGGGTGGGGAACTGGCAGTTCAAGGTCTGGATGGTCTGTGGTAAGACTAAAGATGAAAAGGGCGGATTTAGGTTTTTAGGCTTACCGAAGTCCATTTTTGTTAGATTAAGAATACAGTAGAGCGTCGATTTTCCGAATCAATTGGGGACTGGGGTTGTTCGTATAACTGATATTTCGGATAACCGATTTATGTACGAAAAAATAGTTTAACGTATCCGATGTTGAAATTTTTATCTGTTGCGTGTCGCTTCGCGTTGAATTTTCGTCGATGTTAAGCCTAACGAAGACTAATGTATCGTAAAAAATTATTTTTTTAATTTGTACAAACAAAATAAATATATTGAAAAATATAAAAACGATAAAAAATTATACTTCAAATGTAAATTTAGTATCAGAAACGTAAAATATTTAAGTAGCCCAAGACATAGACAAAGATTGAAGCGCCACAGCACTGGCGAAAATTTAAATTTGCCGACTGGAATTTTTTCGGATGATTGACGTTTGAAATGATTGACTTTCGGAAAATCGACGCTCTACTGTATTTAAATTGGGATTTAAAATTTATTTTTAATAACATGAAAATCGAAGTTAAAATGTATTTATTTATGAAATGGTGTTGAATGACGATAAGTGGCCGTTGTTAATGAATTGTATTAAAAATTTATGATTATAATTTAATTTTTGTGCGCTGTTGACACTTGGGGGCCGGGCATAAGTCCTATTAGTCGGTATGTATATCTGACCCTGATTATAGAATGTTCGAGGTTTGGATTGCTAGTACAGTACGTTCTGTTCCCTAATTAATCCCTGCAATCAGCGCGAATGAGTCAGTTGAGTGAGTTGACGCATTTCAGCTTTTTCAGAACATAATGCGAGCGAGGTTTATTTAAAATCTCGTTGTGTCCATACGCAATACTGGATTTCTTACGTCATTTTAAATTAACAAGTGTTGTATTTACTTGTATTGAATGTTGTAAGTGTTTTAATAAATCCATTAATGTTGTTCGCGCGTTTATTTCATTTTTGGACCGCAATCCCGTAACAATAGCAATTTAAATTGGATATTACAAACTTTTTTATCACAAAAGGTATGTCTGTATTATTTTCATTCGAGTCGATGAGTTGCAAAACAGTCTAATTAAAGGAATCCAAAATATTAAAGTTTTTTTTCTTTAAAGATTGAAGTTTCTAGTGTAGAGAGTCAATTCAAAAGCTTAAATTTTTAGTTCGTTTAATTTTTTGACAGATATAGCAGTAGTTATTTATATAAGCACACCGAATATACCAATGCTCTATGAAACCCGTTGGTCTCAAAAATATAAAAGTATCGCCACATTGAAGGAATATAATGTGCAAATCGTTATGGCGCTTGAAAAACTATCAACAGACGATAATAATACAACGAGAACAGCTGGTTTTCAAATACATTGCGCTGCTACAAAATCAGAATTTATTATTAGTGTTTGTCTCATAGCGAAATATTCAGCGATCCTGCAACTGGTGGTAAATGTTATTCATTACTTTTTATAAACAACGTTATCTTACTTTTGCCCTTTGAAAAAATCTAATCACGCCCTTGCATCTATATAAGTAATTAATTAAAATAACTGGTTTGAAATGAAACGAGTTACGTTATTGGTGTGATTATCCATCTGAATAAATGTCACTTTATCAGAGAATACCTCTATTTTAACGCGAATATTTTCGTCAAGTTCGATGAATTTTTAACACAATTAATTCGTAATATAAGACAATTTTATTTAAAAGCAATTATTTAAAATTTTTTAAACTATTTTCACAATTAAATATACAGGTATACCTCGCCTTACGTCGGTAATTGGTTACAGGAGAACGACGTAAGTCGAATTTACTTGTCTCCGAATCTACTTGTCACTAGGCTAAACCGTAAATTACCATTCCCGGTTCTGTATTTTATTTATTAATGTATTTTTAATAATATATGGTTAATAAAAATCTATTTTAAGCTTATAAAGATATAAATTTTAGTTTTTAATATAGTACAAAAAAAGTAATCTAAATTTACGAATGCATGTACTGTAAATACAGTACAGTACATACTTGTATATATTTTAATATGATTCTATGTGCTTTAAACGTTTATCTAGTGATATTACGACTTCAATATTTGTGGCGGACAGACGTAAAGTCGAATAAAATGACTTAAACTTGATTTTTATTTTTCCAT